AATAAAAAATAATTCCATGTCAATATAATATAATTAGACTATTCACAGGGTTTCTTGGACCCAGTATTGTAACTGTGGCTTCAAACTCTTTCATCCCATACGTTTTTCATTAAAAGAAAAATCAGGGCCAGGGATTTAGCTCAGAGGTTTCACCACCTGCTGCACATGAGCAAGGACCCGAATTCGATCCCCAGTACAAAAAAAAAAAATCCTTGACCAAATATAGTTTTTTTTGTTTGTTGTTTGTTTTGGTATCCGAGATCGAACTCAGGACCTTGAGTTTGCGAGGTAGGCATGGTGCCACTAAGCTACATCCCCGGCCCCCCTTGACCAAATATAAAGGACTAGGCTCAGGCAGGAGGATTATAGTTCAAGGCCAGCCTGGGGAATTTATTGAGATGCTGGCTGAAATCGAAAAATAGAAAAGGAGCCAGGGTTCATGCGTGTAATCCCAGCACTCTAGGAGGAGCCCAGCCTGGGCAATTTAGTAAGACCTTGTCTCAAAAAAAAAAAAAAAAAGATGGAATGTAGCTCAGTATGAAGGTCCTGGGTTCATGAAGGTACCACACACCCACACATATGAATTAATTAACTAATTAAAATTAAAATAAAGAAGGGCTACTGTAGGGAAACTCAACAGTACAAGATGTGGTACTTTGGTTAAGGCTGCAAAGGGAAGGGGATCTGGGAAGCAGTGGGTTCTGGGTCAACACAGCGCCAGGGCAGGTGCATCTGCCGATCCCCCAAGGTCAGTGGTGGTGTAAGTAACTTACATAAGTGAGGTTGTTTCCACACAGGACCACTACAGTGCACTTTGGTATAAATGTAGACTCAGCAGCCGAGGACTGCTGTGAGAATGGGTGGGCCAGGGGTCTAAGGACTGCCAGGACTGTAGAGGCTGGGGCTGCAAGAGCAGCTGAACAGATGCACTATGGCTAAGCAGCTGAATAAAAGATGTTTAACCCAGGCTACAGTTTTGTCTTTTCTCTGGGCTGCCTGAATCGCAAGTGAACCTTCCCAGTCTGACCTGGTGACAAGACAGCTGGGGATATAGTTCAGTGTACAGCATTCTGTGGGTTCCCAACACCACACCAAATATATATTTATATTCTTTTATATGTATGAATGACAACATTCTGCTGAGAAAAACAAGTATGATTTTTCATCTTTCCATTTCAGAAAGGATACGGTTATTACACTGAGTCAGGCGGGGAAGCAGGAGGCTAAAGGTGATGAAGGAGAAAAAGAAGAGCACAACGATAGGGAAAACCACTGCAGAACTGCAAGAATCCTGAGTCTGGAAAGGAAGGTTTGTGCTCCCCAAGTGCCTTCTGCAAGAGAACCTGCTCTCCTAAGGAAAACAGCCCTGGAAACCACAAAGAAGTATCCCAGGTTGCTACTCCACAGGGCAGTGTTTCTTGAAGTGGATTTGACCACCAGCATTTAACAATCAGTCAGCTCTATTGTTAACACATTTCTGTGTCCCACCCCAGAGTTCCTGGAGAAGAATCTTGGGAATGAGACCCTCACATTTGTATTTTCAACAGCCATATCTCATGTACATCTAATTTTGATTATCACCACCATGGGGGTCTGCTCTGGAAGGCCCTAATTCCCTCCCTTCTGATATTACCTTCGGGTCACTGTGTCCTCTGTGATGAGCTTGCAGTACTCACCCTCTTTTGTTATCAGAGGATAGGAAGTAGCTGGTGAGATAAACTTCCTTCTGATGGCTACTTTCATAGTTAATGTAGAGGAAGCAAGAAAAATGCCTTCTTGGGTACTCATTAGCCTAAGTCTCATGCTGGAAATGGATCAAAACCAATGTTTTGGAACCCACCATAGGAAAAAACAGTATCAATACTTGAACATTTTCTCTAGTATTTCTGTTTTGTTCAACTTTTAGAAGGGAACAATAACATAATAAAAACTGGCATACCAAAACATGAAATGATTTTTAAATACTTACCTGAGCACATAAAGAATTTTTTCCAGGTATTTAATGTCTGAACATTTTTCAATATACTTGAAATCCAAATGTTCAACAGGAATGTTGAATGTTTTTGTTGCTCCATAGCCCCACAATGATGGATAATCTTTGGCAGTCATGGCTGAAATATAATACAGGAAAGCAGATGTGAACCTAATACATGTAATAGTGTTAGTTTGGATAGTAGTATCTATCTGGGTCCTCTGGAAGGAAAAGAGGTGGAGTAGTTTTTCCAAGAATGGAGCCTACTCATTTTGAACTTTCCTTCCCTGATAATAAGGTAGCATTTATGGAGTTAAATTACTATGTGTCATACATGGATTATCTCCTTCAATCTTCACTTAAGCAAAGCTGGGAAATAATGACAAAGCTGGTTTTGGTGCTCAAATTACATTTATTTATTTATGTTTGAGACAGGGTCTCATTTTTTAATTCAGGCTGGACTTGAACTCATCATGTAGTCCAGGCTGACCTCGAACTCTCAGCAATCTTCCTCCTCAGCCTTCCGTGCTAGGATTACAGGCATGTGCCTTGGAATTACTTTTTAAAGTCTCTGTTAAGGTTTATTTTGAATGATTTTATACTTTAGCTGTTTATTAACATGCCAGTTATTTGAGTTGGTACAAACACTATTTGTCCTTTCTGTAGTTTTTTCTTTTCCATTCCTGGCCTCATTTCCTACACTGCCACTCACTCCCATGAAGGAATAGTTCCCAAGATTATATTCTAAAACACTCTGTACGTACCTCTCACAGAACCTAGACTGTTTTAATTATGTTTCCTTTCTTCTCTAGATTGTGAAAGATCTTACTTATCCTCATGGCTCCAAAACTAATATAATAGGTAGTGCTTTATATTCTTTAAGGAATACTTGCAGAATTGAATTGGAAATAAGGAGGTCTTGGAGACTTTCACTCTAATGACACTGCTGTTAATGATGGAGATAATAATTACTGCAAGACTTATATATGTGTGCTGGGCACCATCCTAAGCTTATGTGATATATGACATAGAAGTATATACTCAGCACTTCTTATTTAATCCTCCAACTACTATATCAGGTAGGTTTTGTTTTATGTACGAGCAATAACAACAGTTTACATTTATGGAGCTGTATTACCATGTGCCAAAACGTTACCTTGCTTAATCTTAAAATCTATTCTTATGAAAAATATTAATAATACTCCCAGAGCTAGGGGTGTAGCTCAGTGGCGGAACAATTGCCTAGCATGTATGAGGCCATGGATTCAATCTCCAACACTAAAAATAGATAAAATAATAATGATGATAATTTATAGATAAGCAAGTTAACAAGTCAGCTGTAGAAATGCATCTCAGTAGACTATAGAGTGCACATACTTAACGATCATACCACTGCTTTTCAAACTATAGGTGGCGATTCATGAAATCAATTTAGCAAGTTGCAATCAGCATTTTTATAACAAGATAAAATTGAATAAAACAGACTACCTGGCATATAACATTATTTTATAAAAATTTTATTTCATGTCTATATAAATGGAAATTATGTGTGTGTATAAATGCACATGGTTGCAAAGTGAAATATATTTTTATTGGGAGTCACTATCAAAGTTTTTAAAAAACACTAAACCTATTGGGTGATCATTTTAAAAACTGAAGTAAAAATAAATCTACTCCCCTTTTTTTGGTTCTGGGAATCAAACTCAGGACCTTGTGCTTGCCAGGCAGGTGTGGTGCCACTGAGCTAAATCCCTGGCCTCAAAATAAATCTAATTCATATAAGAATTAGGAATCTGGCCATATATCAGACTCGTGTGGAGAAAGAGACCTCTGTCAATTTCTCCATATTCCTACTGGCTTGGAAGTGGGTATGAAGTATAAACACGCTATTTAGGCTTTGGAATGAGATCCAGCTGAGAATAGACTGGCTTTTAAACCACACTGCAGGGCCCAGAATGCCAAATGGCTCCCATCACAAGGATAGTAAGAAGAATGAAAGAAACAGGAAGGAAAGATAAGGAACTTTTACATTATCGACACTGTACAGAACAGAATGGATACCCTGAATTTTCCAAAGAACTGGAGGATCTTTTGTGAGATAGAATTGAGCATCTAATGGGATTAAAATAGATCAAGGTGGGGGCCTGGGATTTAGCTCAATGGTTCTGCCACCTGCTTTGCAAGTGCAAGGTCCTGAGTTCAATCCCCAGTACCAAAAAAAAAAGATTAAGGTAGCTTGAAAGTATCTTGCAACCACTGACATTTTGATTTGAATAAAATATAGTGAAAAACGCAAAATGATAGAACCATCTCTTACCCAATTAAATTTCATTCTGAAAACTACTCAACATATCTCTGAGAACTTTTTTCAAAAACTACCGTTCCTTTTTTTCCCTGTAGGATACACTTTCTCAACATTACTAAATGCCAATTCTGAAGTTCCAAAAAGTCTCCCTTTATTTGTTCTTCTGAAGGCTCTTCCACATCTCTTTGCAAAGTCATTGCTTCTGGTTAGAAAAATACTTAGTCCTAGCTGGATTTAATTTCTTCTCTGTCATCCCGACCCGACCCACGTCCACTTCCCATATAAATCAGCTTGTCAGTTAACCTTTCAGTGCAAACTGCCACGGACTAGTAGTAACCCTAGTAACTGGAAAATCTGGCAGCCTCCCTCCGAGGCACCTCCTTTCTAGTATCCGCACTGGCGAGCGCCCCCTGCTGGTCCAGAACAGAAGGAAATGGCATCCTCCAGCCGTGGCAACGGTTTCTATGTACTCTCTGGCCCCAGAGGGTAGCAGGCTCGAAACTACCCTGCAAGGTCCACAGCCAACCTGAAACCGTTTGAGGTCGTCCCTCAGCCCCCGGCTTTGGTTTCCAGGGATGCTGCGTGGGCCAACCCCGAGAACTCCCGCGTTGCGACCCTATCCCAACATCCGCTGTCAGTTGCCCGGACCTGGAAGGGCCTTCACCCGACAGCGTGGTCCTCTCTCCAGTGTCAGGGAGCGTGTGCTTCTCTGCCTTTCACCCCCGCTCCCCCAAGGAGAGGCCGCGATGAGATGGACGTTACCCCCGGCAGGCAGGTACACATCAGCACTCACCTTGTTCTCAGATCAGGCTCCTCCGGGCTTGCCCAGTCCTCCCGGCTGGTACTGGAGAACTAGCGGGTGGAGGTTGGGGGCCTCTGCAAGGCGATTGGCTGTCCCTGCCTACCATCCTGCTGATTGGCCTCGCAGGGCCCAGCCTCCCCTCTCTGCCCTCACCCAAAGGAGTCTAAATGTGCAAACTCCTTCCTCTCCTTTGAGTTTGTATGGTTTAGAGTTAAAACTCCGTCACTGTTCTTTTACCCCAGACTGCTGTATTCCTGCTAAGTAGACATCTTCTCCTATTTAACTATTAAAACATAATTATAGGGTCGGGGATTTAGCTCAGTGGTTCCGGCGCCTGCTGCGCAAGCGCGCGGTCCCGAGTTCAATCCCCGGTACCAAACCAAACCAAACAAAAATAAATAATTACAATTTCAAAACCTGCACTCCAACCTGTATTTATTGACCTCCTCCTCTTTAAACAAGAATAAATCAAAGACAAGATTCCCTTTCTCTTTATGCATTCCATTCTGGGAGTGCTGGTTATGAGCATTCAGATATAAAGACGTGAAAGGCATTATATATTCAGATGAACATACTAGGTCACTTGTAATTTCCGTTTTAAATATATTTCAGACTAGTTTAAACAGATGATGAACAAAGCACCTACTACAATGCCTAGCACGTAAAAGTACTATAGACAGTTAAGTTCGGTAAAAATATTACAGGCAGTCAGACAGGGCTGAGCCTTCAGAAAGTCGGGACAAAAGGTAAAAACACACTACAACTGTGGCCAGAAACACATCAGTTAGAATCCAGGCCTGAAGATGCTGACAAAAAGGACCAGGCCTACATACTTCCCCAAGGGATGAGGTGATAACACCTGGTTTAGTAAAGTCCAGGTATAGGTGACCAAGACCCCTGGATCCATCACCTTCCCAACCTTTCCATGTACCCTTGCTACATGACCTACTTTCCCATTGGATCACCCATTACCTAAGCGGCTATACTTGTCACCTAATCAGTGGATCATAGCTTTAACCCATGTTGTACCCACCTGGTTTTTGCTCTATAAAAACATCCCTGTAACGTGAGGTCCATGTCTACCCAATCAGGAACCCTTCTGCCTCTCAGGAGCTATGCTCTCAAATATTTTCCTACTCTTAACCTCCACCATTCCTAGAATTCATTCTTTGATTTTAGAGAACACAAACTCACATTTAACAGGTTGGAGGTTATAATATTTCCCTTATATCATTTGGAGGTCCTATTTCAACTCCTATTACCAAAAGGAGCTCAATATTTTATCTTCTCTTTGCACTTAAATTATACTCTTAGCTGGGGCTTTTAGTGGTAAAAAAATATTCAAGCTATGATTATATCATTGCTTCCATTGCCAGTACTGGAAAAATGTTACATTTGCATGTTTATAGATAACTTTAAAATGTCTTAGGTTGCCTTACTAAATTATCATGAGTGTAACATGTCCAGGTCTTGCAAAGTCATTTCATATTTCATTCCAGACAGCAAACTTCCTCCAAAATCATGCCCTAAATCTCAAATACATAGCCACTATAATTTCACATCATTTTATTTCTAGCTGAGAAAGAAATCATTTTAAGTATCTGGGAAATGGTAGTAATTCCACACGCCCTGTTACTTTCTTTTCAGTCACGCTTAATGTTTTGTTATAATTATGTATACACTTCTGCTGAGGTAAAAAAGCAGGACACAAAGCAACTTAAAGGAAAAAAAGACAATGTAGGCAAATGAAAATCATTACAGTATTTATAAACACATAACAAAATACTGCATCCAAGAAACAAGATCTGTATGAGAGGCCTACATGGCCAGCTAAGGGCAGTCTAGGTATTTGGACCCAAAGCCTCACACCAAGGCCCACATGGTTCAGTGAGCTCTTTACTGTGCAACGCATCAATGAGTCCTACTGACTCAACTTCAAAATGGGATCCAGTTATGTCTCATCCCTTCCACCAGTAACCACCCTGGCCCAGCTACTGTCTGCCATTACTACAGATGACCCTTCCTTTTTATCTGCTGCCACCTGACCCTGTATAGTCCATTTTCACACTACAGCTTGAAACACATCACTCCCCTGCTTACTGTCCCAACTGCTTTCCAAAAGAGCATCCTAACTTAGCTGGCTTCCACTCACCTTTGCAACCTCATCTCTTCCCACTACCTCACTGCTCAGTCTGTCACAGGTTTTTCATTTTAAAAGGGGAACAAGATGAGCTTGGGTCCTACCCCAGAGCTTTTTCAAGGGCTGTTTCCTCCATCTTAGTAATGCTCCTTCCTGTTTTCTCATTGTTTAGTCCTCTGCTCAAGTAACCACTCCATCTGACTAAACTTCTACATAGGACTTATTCAGAAGGTGGGGATGTGTGGATCTTTATATGTGAGGAAGCAACTTGTTTTATATCTCTTTATTTTTCTATTCATTTCTTTCAACTTGTTTTATATCTCTTTATTTTTCTATTCATTTCTTTCTTTTTTTTTTTTTGTACCAGGGATCAAACCCAGGATCTTGCGCTTGAGAGGCAGGCACGGCCCCACTGAGCTTCTATTCATTTCTGATTTCAAGTATTATTTTTCATAACTTTACATGAACAGCAAGTACACTGGTATACTTTATACCAAATGGTGCTATCATGTTTACAAACAATGACAAAGAACAGTGGTTTCCAAAGAACTTATTTAATTAGATCTTTAGAGAGCTCTAGAAATCCAAATTTTAAATAAATTTTATTTAAAGTATGGTTGGAGAAACACTTTTAACCTTTATTGTGTGTCAGATTACATATACAATAAAATTAAATAACAAGTCATATAACTGAATGAAAAAATTCTTTATACAAAGTATATATAGATACCTAAGTACAATCTAGTTTGAAAATGAAATAAAAATGAAAAAATGTATATAGTTGTATTAGTGACTGTGTTAAATCAAAAGCTACACAACAATGAAAAACATTAAGGGGCAAACCCAAGAACCAATGAAGAGACTTTTCTGAATTCCTGTGTTTCATCGAGCATCAAAAACCACCACTGTAGTTAACTGAGTTAAGGACCAAAAAAGTACATAAAAATTACATAAGATTTAAGGTTCCAAGTCACTTTCTCTTGGCAGTAAGCTAGTTTACTATTTTATTTAAAATGTACAAAAGAACAGAACTATTTACTACAATAATTGGAGATCTTTTAAAAATCTTCATTTTACTTTTTCCAGATACAATAGCAAATGCATCAAAAAATATTAATCTATATTAAAGGTGATAAATTGCTGATTTTAAAGAATTTGTTAGTTACCACATAACAATTTATTCCCAGTATTTGGGCCCTACTTTTTCTTGAGGTAGTGTATACAATATTTATATTTCTCCTTGTATAGTCTGCCTATAAACTCAAGCTCAATAAGGAGTACTTCTATTAAGTACAGCATCCCTAAAAAATATTCTAATGAGAACCAAAATAATTAGTGTTTATGAACAGCCCATATAGTGGTCTATGAAAATGGTGATCCTGTTTGTTTCTAAAGTAATCCAAAAGTTATTACTGTTCTTACCATAACTTAATCTGTATCAAACCCAGCATTATTCTGCATTTCCTCTTCATATTTAGAAAGCATACATAAAAGGATACATCTTTTAGTTCTTTTCTTGTACATTATTCTATATCCACATTCTCTACATCTGATTGGATCCCTGGATTTAATTTCATTTTCTGTGTGACATTCTAGAAAAAGAAAACACATTTATTCAATGGATAAAAGAAAAATATTACAGACAAGTACATTATTTAAACCATATTTTCCACCCAAAGCAACCCAAAGAACTAATATACACTCAATCTTTTTTTTTTTTGGTCTTATTTTAAGATGAGAAATTATGTAATTATTTTGAGACTTCAGGCAAAAAAGAATGAAAGTTTAAAAGAAAATCCCATATAAAATGTAAAATTCCTATAAAACATAATTTTTTTTTCCATTTAGTTTACTGGTACATTTTAGGTATACAATACAGTTACATTCCTCATTGGGATCTTGTACCTGTACATGATGTATCTTGGTTCTTATTTTTTCCCCATTCCCCTGCCTTCCCTTCACCCCCTCCACCCTTCCCTATTTACAAAGACTTTGTTTCCATGTTTTTCCTTTTCTCATATTTTTTCTTTTCCCTTCTTTCCTTTCCCCTTCCCCTCCCATTTCCCCTATTCCTTTAGACATTTTCTTCCTATTTCACAGTATCAATTATACATTTTGATTCTTATTTATACTTTTAGTTTTTCACACCAGAGGAACTATTTGGTATTTACACAAGTGTGTCCTATTTATTTCACTTAAGAGTATGGCCTCTATAAAACATAATTCAACAGAAATCTTTAAAACTTTTCCTCTTTCCACTGCTGCCTCCCAACTCCCTTTTTAAACTTTAAAAGAAAAAAAAAAGAAATGGATCGTTTGCTTCTATTTATTTGCAAACAATTTAATGACAAATTCTGGATAATTCTGATATGATGGGATTAGAATTAGAGTACAAAGATCTAACTTCACATAACTCATTTCGAGCCCTGAAGCCCTTATCTATAAAACCAATACTCAAAACTATGGCTCAGAGAATTGGGTAATTTTGTAAAGTACCTTCAAACAAAAGATTTCAATATATATTTCTTTTTTTTGGTACCAGGGATTGAACTCATGACCTTGTGTTTGCGTAGTGTCATTGAGCTAAATCCCCAGCCCTAAAATCAATGTATCTTTCTTTCTTTCTTTTTTTTTGGTTTTTTTGAGGCAGGGTCTCCCTTTGTAGTTCAGGCTGGTGCTGAACTCCCAGGCTAGCCTCAAACTCGCAGTGATCCTCCTGCCTCAGCCTCCCAAGTGCTGGGATTACAGGCATGCACCACCACGCCCAGCTATTTATTTAAGAAAAATTTTTCTTCTTTCTTATTAAGAATATACTGTATGGGAATTTATATGAGAAAATGTAAAAAAATGGAAACAAAGTCTATGTAAACAGGGAGGGGTGGAGGGGTTGAAGAAAGGGCAGGGGAATGGGTAAAAAATAAGAACCAAGTGGCCAGGGATTTAGCTCAGTGGTTGCACTGCCTGCTGCACAAGCGAAAGGACCCAAGTTCGATCCGCGGTACAAAAAAAAAAAAGAACCAAGATAGATTACGTAAAGGTGCAAATTCCCAATGATGAATGTCATTATATTGTACACCTAAAATGTACCAATGAAATTAATTTTAAAAAAAGAATATATTGTACAGTTGTTAATTAGCTGCTTCTAAAGACTTTGGCCTGTGTTATACCCACTTTGCATGTTGGGTGTGTCACAGAAACACGGAAAACAAGTTGCTATTTGCCAACACCTTGCATCAGATAGTGGTACTCTTCTTAATAAGATGTAATTCCTTTGATAAAATCAGATACTCATAAAATTAAGAAGCCCAGAGTGACAGGTCTGCAAGCTTTTTAAAAAAAATTTTTATTAGTACAGTATGTTTGCACTACATTTATTATGATGTACATGTACATAACATATCTTAAAAGTACTCATTCTCAATATGCTGATATTGCTAAATACATTAAGTAGAAAAGAAAAGAGTTGTGGGTAATGCACTTATCCAAGTGAAAAAATGAAATCTTGACAAAATTTCACAAGATTGTTACTTTGTCTAAGTGTTACTCTTACCTCCACAGATATATATCATTGGCTGCTGCTTTGGAGGTTGAACGTCCTTCTGAGTGTCCATTGTTAGTCTCTGAAATCACAGATTCAAATATTGAATACTTTCTCAAAGGAGCTCCTCACAAAACCAACCAAACCCCATTTTTCTAAGGAGAAACAAAAAGATTTCAATTTCTGATCTGTGATTTTCCCCCAAGCTGTATGAGTCAGGTCTAAAGGACGAAACACAAAGTACTGACCGCTTAACTTATCCTGGACAAAATAATAAATACCTTATACAGTAGGGCCAGGAAGTATAACTACATGTGAAGAAGCTGGGGCTTAAGAGAAGTTAATCTGCACAGTATCGCTCAGCTACAAAGGCATTCAGATTTGACCGAAAAACTAGGGTTATCATTTAAAAGAAGTTCCAGTCTTAAAACTTCAGCCGGAGATAAATTATATTCCTTGTGCCAAAAAATTACACCCCTCAACAGGCGAACAGCCTAACCAAAGGGTAAAGTAACGCAGTAGCACTCTGCGGCTAAACAGCTAAACTAAAATCAAAGCACTAAGAGCATCGTCTCTATCCCAGCCTCTCCCAACACTAACCCTACCGGGACCCTTTTAACTGCAAGCATCTAATTTTCACCCAAACAGCACCTCCAACACACACTGTGCGCGCGCCGCCCCCAAATCGCAAACCATTAATACCCTATCTGGGAAACACCGAGAAACTTCTCAACCGCCTCTTCCAAAGAGAAGCTCGCTCGTCGTGCTCAGCCAACTTCCGTCGCTGACAGATGACGCACTAGAGTATCCGCCCCTTCCGCCTTGGCAGCCCGGAAACTCTGATTGCTCAGACTGTGCGTACTGGGCGGGTGCGGTATGCGCTCTCTATAGAAGTGGCGAACCTATAGCACGCGTGCCGCCGCCGCCGCCGGCTGTTTAATATCATTGAAGGCCCCGAAAGGTTCGCTATCCCTGAAAGTGCCTATTTCTCTCCTGGTTGCTTTCATTTTCCAGGAACGCAAGGCATTGTGACACGCAAGTGGAAAGAGGTTTATGTTTTTGTCTAAAGAAGTTGGTAGGAAGTAATACTTTTCTGGAAGGGCCGAGGGTTAGAAGAGAAACAGCTGACAGGTGTCTGTGGAATCTAGGATTCACACGGAAGAATCGGTTCCACCAGTGATTCACATATAGAAACACTTTATTGTTTTTCAAGTTATATGTGCATGCTTGGGTACCAAGGCAGCAACCTCCTATTCCTCTCATGATTTTGTTTTTGCGTTCCAGCCCTTTCTCTCCTAGGCGCCTGTCATTCCTTTCCCCCATTTATTTTCTTTGTAAAGCAAAGGCTGGCATGAGGGCAGCTACATCATTTATTCCACTCAAGCCTAAGGGGTTTGGTAACGTTACCCTTCCTCAGATCCTCTGTCCCGTGTTTTCATCCAAAGGGAAACAAAATGACCTGTTGAGTGGAGAAGTGTTCTTTCAAAGATCAAAATTTTCAGTGAGATAACTGTATCCATTGAGTTCAGAATACTTAATTTGTTAACTTCACAGCAGATATTTTACTTATATAAGTAGGACAAAGAAAACGTTATTCAAATTCAAAAATATTAATCAGTTGTTAACAAAATTAATGGAAGAGGCAGCTACCTCGCCTGCAGGGGCTGGTGCTGGCTCAGGCTGTGGCACGGTGGACCAAACGGACAGGCATCCCAACTCCCGAGAACTCTCAGTGACTGTCCCAAGAGAGGTCTGTGCACAAGGTCCCTCCAACCCAAGGAAATCAGGGTCCAGTCCAACTTCCTCCTGAACTCACAGCCCTACTAAGCACCTGAGGACTACTTCTGCAAAACTCAAGCAAAAGAATGAAGGGGGAGAGAAGGCTGAGCTTGAGTTCCAAGTTTGGGAACTTCTAGCAGAAGCCAAAGCCAAAGATAATGAAATCAGCAGACTTCGAAGCGAATTAAAGAAATGCAAGGAGGGAAGGCCCTTGAGCACCAAGGGGAGTGGTGCTTCAGACTCAAGTTCAGATGGAACATCAACTTCAACAGGAGATACAGAGCCTTTGATAAGAACCCTTGAGGAGAAGAACACAACCTTGCTGACCTAGAAAGAAAGAGCTTGCTGACCTAGAAGAAGAAAACCGGGTTTTGAAGGAAAAACTGACTTAACCTTGAACAGTACCAAATTCAGAAGGGCTAGCAAATCACACTGGTGACAGCAGCTGCCCAAAATCTATAACTCAAGAGTCAAGCTTTGAAAGCCCAACTAGAAATGAACTGTCAAGTAAAATTGATGAGTATTAAAAAAACATTATAATACATTAGGGACATCCAGTTCTTCAAGCAGTGATGTTACCAAAGCTTCTTTGTCACCAGATGCCTCGGATTTTGAGCACATCATCACTGATACCCTATCTCGGCCTCTGTCTTCCACTAGCAATCATTTTAAGAATGCCAAGTGTTCAACCACTGGGAATTCTCCAAACAGTGCACCTGAGCTATCCCTAATTTCCCTTGCAGAGAAGATACGGAAGATGGAAGAGAATCACCACAGCACTACAGAGGAGCTACAGGCCACTCTACAAGATTTATCAGACCAGCAACAAATGGTGCAGGGATTGACAGCTGAGAATGAGAAGCTAGTGGATGAGAGGACTATTTTAGAGATGTCCTTCCATCAGCATCAGAGGGCAAAACAGCTAAGTCAAGAAAATGAGAAACTGATAAATCTTTTACAAGAGCAAGGAAGGAATTAGGAGCCCAGTGCCCAAGAAGGGAAAATCCTTGAGCTAGAGCAGAAGTACATAGATATTCTTGAGAAAAGCCACATTGAAAGAGAGAACATTCAGCAGCAATTGACCTGTAGCTTATGAGGCTGAGGAAGAAAACCAAGGAGCTTTGGACATGATCAAGCCCTTGAAAGAAGAAAATGAAAAACTGAATGGGTGTCTAGAAATAGAATGGTGTAACAATAATGACCAAACTTTGGAAGAATGGAGAGTTACCTTGGATGGCTTGAAGATGGTCCTTGAAGGCTCATTTGGAATGTGAGAAACAAAAAGCCATGAAGACCAGTGGTAACATGGGACAGACAGCAGAGAACTGTGAACTTCAGGAAATGTTTCAAGTAGCTTGAGCTGAGAAAGATCAGCTGGAACTCTCTTGTACTGAACTTAGGCAAGAATTGCTAAAAGCAAATAGTGAAATTAAACACATTTCAAGCCTGGTAGCTAAGATGGAAAAATATTATTCTTACCTGAAGGAGATCTGTGATCATCAAGCAGAAGAGCTGAGCAGAACCAGCCTAAACTGCAAAAGAAAACGTCAGAAAGTGATGCAGAGATAAAAGACATTAAAGGAACCATATTTGAATGGAAAGATCAGGTGAAACAGCAGCAGGCTGTCAAGTTATACAACAATCAGCTCATTAGTGAGCTAGAGAGCAATGTAATCAAGCTGGAAGAGCAGAATTCAGACCTGGAGTGGCAGCTAAAGGCCCTGACAAAGCAGATAAAGGAGGAGACTGAGGAATGGAGGCAGTTCCAGACAGACCTGCAGATGCAGTGGTGGTGGCCAATGACATCAAATGTGAGGCCCAGCAGGAGCTACGCACTGTGAAGAGGAGGCTGTTGGAGGAGGAAGAGAAGAATGCCAGGCTACAGAAGGAGCTGGGGAACATGTAGGGCCATGGCAGCTCTCTGGTCTCTGTCAGCTATCAGAGGTTTTGGTGGAAGAAACACAACCCAGCCCTTGCCATGATTGGGAACTACAGCCATCTCTCTATGAAAGGAGGAATCTGTAGAGGAGAAATCGCCATTTTATATAAGAGCCCAGTTGACTCCTGTACGATTCACTGTTCCAAACAGTGCCACATTGCAATCAAGCCTCTTTACTTTTTTCTACATTTTCAGAATCAACTCTTTCACGATCAAAAATGAACTTCCCTCTTTTTTTTTTCTCCTCCTTAAGAAGATTTAGTAATATCTGTTTTGGAGAATAAAATGAAGTTCTGGAAAGAAAAAATATGTCTTGTGAAAAAAATATTTCATATGTTCGTAGAAAATAGTGGCTTAGCAAACTCCAAGTGGTGCTGAATGCAGCCCATGCATAGGTTTTGCTTTTTGGTATTTATTTTCAAGCTGCTTATTTGAATATAGGATCTAGTAATCTCAGGATTGACAGTACTTAAGGCAAAATAAGAAGCCATCTGCATGTTGCCTTATTCAGAAGAATTTAGAAAGTCCTCCCTTACATCAAGTCTTGCACCTCAACCTGTGCATGCTGAGGTCTCACTTTATTACTTCATTTGAAACAACTGCCACTAAACTTTAGTTTGATTTACAGAATCTTTGTTGGGCTAAACATAAATAGATGTTTGGTTGAGAATAAAAAACGTATTAGCCAGATAAGAACACACAGTGACAATGCTAACTGAAAACTAATAAAGGACAACTTACAACAAAAGCCTCATGAACAAAATTTATCCTGGAAACTTAAAGACTTATAATGCAGAAAGGTATAACTCAGAGAGATCCGGAATTCAAATATGACTTTAAACTTTCGGGTAGTACATACATTTGTGAAGATCTGTGTCCAATTCAGCAGACTCTACCAGTGAAACCTACTACACTTCTCAGAGGAGAAGCATTTTGCGGTGTATCTAGCATAGGGCCATTAGCTTCATTAAAAAAATAAAAACTTGGATTAAGAAAGCTCTTTAAACTCAAGATATCAAACTGGAGCGCACAGGCTCACCAGAAAAACTTAGCTTGGTGTGAGAAAGAAGAGACATCCATATCTTCTTTATAAAAATAATTAGATACTCGCTGGAGTTATCTTCATGTCCTGAGGGATCTTTACCTCAGGTTGAAAATTCTTAGAATTGACTTAAAATGCACTTGTTGGGTGTTTTCTAATCTAAACAATAAGAAAAATGCAACTTCAACTTAAAAGCATATTTTGATCTGTCTTTACTCTGGGTATTGTTGAATATTTTTATATGTAAGCATTTATGAAGTGCTAAATAAATGTTATTTTTTTTAAGTTAATGGAAGAGACAGGCTTGCTTTCTCCCAATGTGTACTACATCCTCCCTGTCTTAATAAGGAGGCTATTGTTTCCACTTCTCCACCCAGCAACTTGAGAACTTTGAGCCTCACCTTTCACTTCCAGGAGTTCAAATTGTGGTTGGATCTTCACAGAACATCTTGAGATATTTAACCTGATTTTTCCAGTATTCCTCTATGTAAAAAAAATTTTTTTCCGGGGCTAGCTCAGTAGGAGAGCACTTGCCTAGCATGTGCAAGGCCCTACATTCACTCCTTAGCACAATAAAATAAATAGGGCTGGGGATTTAGCTCAGTCGTTTACCATGCCTGCCTCGAAAGTGCAAAGTCCTGAGTTTGATCCCGATATCCAAAAAAAAAAAAAAAAAAGTTTTAAAATAGAAATTTCCAGGAGAAATAGCAGTTTCCTGCTGCTTCCTCCACACATGGTACCAGAGCATAAATATTTTGATCATCGGCCCAGTTATGAAGTGTCTCTCCTGTCAATCAAAGAGAAGTAAGTAATCCAATACAAGAAGCACACTAGGCTTCTCTACAAGAAATACTAGATTAAACCAGTGTTACCATAAGAGAAAGGTGATGGAATGATCCTGAAAGTAAAAGTTTCATGTTAAAAACTATTTTGGATTCTTACTCTCCACTTCCAATATCAAGATGATTCTGGCACAAAACAATCCGTGGAGTTCACAATGGATCAATACATGTAGAATAGTGGATCTTACAGAGTGGTGGAGTAATGCCAAGTTACAGCAAGGAGATCTAGAATTTCCACAAGAGTTCATGAAGTGCTAAATTCCCAATCCAACATTCCTTTTCCTTATCAGTGAGAGCCAGTAGTTTTAGTATCGCTATGGAGCATGCTCCATGGAAGCTACCTTATTATCAGTGATAACATTAACATTTCTTGAGCATGTACTACATGCTTGACATCACTGTATTCCTCTCTCCTACCAAAGGTAGTTGTCTTGCCATCCTGGACTCCAGGGCTTTTAACTCATTACAGGATGGGTATGCAGATGCAAGTTAATATTTCTCTCCAGTCTGCCTTTTCTTTTTTTCTGGATCATAATTATTTAAGTATACCTGCATAATTTGAATGCCACAGTCATTAAAAAATCTTCCATTATGTTTTATTAGATGGCCCTAAAAGAAGCATTAGATCTGTGGGAAACAGATGATTTTAAAATTATGAGTCATTTTGGCACACACCTGTAATCCTAGCACTTCGGAGGCTAAGGCAGGAGGATTGCCATTAGTTCAAGGCCAGCCTGAACTACATAGTGAGACCCTGGCTCAAAAAACAAACAAATAAACAACAAAAAAAATTCGGAGTCAGTGTTGGGGTGCTCCCCGATCCAAGAAAGGGAAGCCAAAAAGCAAAAGACTAGAATGGATAAAAATATATAAAAATATACCTTAGTGACCTATATCTGGAGTATATAAAGCTCAATGCAACCTAGATGTTACTAGATATCTTTTTGCCCTTTTTTGGGCAGGGAGGGATAAAAATTATTCCTTCATGAAAAATATAAAGGAGTTACAATATGTTCCTTTATTATCCACTTACAAGAAAATATCTCAAGAAAAATAAATTAACCAAAGAAAAAAGAGAAGGGCAATGTTCAAATATGGTGTATTGGGGTTATGTAGATTTTATTTAACCATAAGCAAAATTCCTTGTCCAGTTTACATCAGTGTGGGGATGAGGGGTAGACATTTAAATAAGTAGACAATGTCATATTTTGGAAGGTGATGACATGCACAGAAAAATCAGCAGAGAAGGAAGATTGCCAGTGCTGAGTAGGGAAGTGTGAAATTGCTGTTACAGATCTGTCTGAAGAGCAGGGGAAGGCACTACTCGTGCTGTGTGGGAGTGCGGGAGGCTTCAGACAGGTGCTATGAAGCATGTGTAGTTCACTAGTTCCTTACCTCAGTTTAACAACCTCACACTAAATACATCTTATCCACAACACCCATCCCAGCCAGTTCTCTTGGCTGCCTCACCCCATTCCCCATGCAGTTGATTCTGCCAACTGAGTTCGTTGGGTTCAGGATCATCTCTACCTCTACTATCTTCCAGAGTAATGAGGGGGTCTCCTTGGCTTCTCTTCATTCTGTCCTCTGTTCTGCGCCCAAGTGGTCTTTCTAAAATGCTCTGCGTTGCCTCACTACAGGATAAACTTCAGGCTCTCAACACGTACGCACAACTTTCCAGGGCTTGGTTCCACACCCCCTCTCATGAATTTTCTCTCACCTTTCCTCCAGTATGTGTTAATTTTCAGTTATAATAAATTATTTATAGTCTTTCTAATGCACCCAATGCTCAATTTCCTGCTCCTGCCCAATTCTGGGTTTGGAATTTCCTGTTATCGGTCTTTTAAACTGCTAAATGCCCAACAAAATCTACCTCCTGCAAGGTGTGGTGGCGCATACGTGTTCTCCCAGCAACTGGGAAGGCTGAGGTAGGAGTATTGCAAGTTCAAGGCCAGTCTGGACAATTTAGCAAGACCCTATCTAAAAAATAAATAAATAAAAATTAAAAAGGGCTGAGGTGTTTATCTCAGTGGCAGAGCACTTACTCAAGGCCTGGCGTTCAATCTCTAGTACCAACACACACACACACACACACACACACACACACTCCACTTCACAACGTGATCATTAGGAAACTGGTGCTGCACATTCTTCTT